TTAAGCCAGTGCTAGGGGGCGTGAGGGGTGTTGCACTTATTCATAATCTCTCATGTACAGACTCAATCAAACCAAGTCTGCAATTCTTATGTAATTTTGTTGTGATTAATGCTTCCAAGGGATCACTTTGTTTCCAGAATTTTCCTTTCGAGGTAACTTTGTTCTGCTTAAACTATAAAAAGGTTGTCTAAAAGTGGTCTTCATTCAGAGATGATGTTCTGTTTGACTGTATACTCTTAACTTGTACATTTCTCAAGAGATACCAGCCGAGTCTTCTCAGAACTACAGTGAAACTTTTCTCTGATTGCTCGAACTTAGATTGTTTGAATTCCTCCTTTTGCTCGAACTCACTGACCATTACCAGCAAAGTTCCTATATAATTTATGTTGTGTTCTACCTTGGTATAACTCAAACTCTCGAACTAGATCTCTGGTCCCATTGGCAGAAATAGTGATTTTTTGTCTTATATACTAACAATTGAAAATATTGGTATCCATTATTTAGAAAAAAAATCATTATTCATTTTCCGCTGAACAAAGATCACTCTAAACAAAGACCATTTTTATGCCCCCGCCATGTAATGGCCGGGGCATATAGTGTTACCCTGTTCCGTCCTTCCGTCATTCTGTCATTCCGTCATCATCACTTTCCGTTTATTATCTTAGTAACGGTTGCACACATTCAACTCAAATTCGACATATGGATATGTCTTGAGAAAATACAGGTCAAGTTCGAATTTGGTCATGGTTCGATGATTTTTGGCAGAGTTATGCCCCTTTTACTTAAAAATAATATGAAATTTTCAGTTTCCGTTCATTATCTCCCCAACGGTACAACACATTCAACTCAAACTTGACATATAGATATGTCATGGGGAAATACAGGTCAAGTTCGAATTTGGTCATGGTTCGATGATTTTTGGCAGAGTTATGCCCCTTTCACTTTGAAAATAATATGAAATTTTTAGTTTCCGTTCATTATCTCCCCAACGGTACAACACATTCAATTCAAACTTGACATATTGATACGTCAAAGGAATGCGCAAGTTCAAATTTGGTCATGGTTCAATGATTTTTAGCAGAGTAATGCCCCTTTCAATTTGAAAATAATATGAAATTTTCAGTTTCTGTTTATTATTTCCCCAACGGTGAAACACATTCAACTCAAATTTGACATATGGATATGTTTTTGGAATGCCCAGGCCAAGTTTGAATTTGGTCATGGTTCAATGATTTTTGGCAGAGTAATGCCTCTTTCACTTTGAAAATAATATGAAATTTACAGTTTCTGTTCATTATCTACCCAACTGTGTTACATATTCAACTCAAATTTGACATATGGATATGTCAAAGGAATGGGCAGGTCAAGTTGGAATTTGGTCATGGTTCGATGATTTTTTGCCAGAGTTATGTCCCTTTCACTTTGAAAATAATATAGATACATCTTAGGAATAAGCAGTTCATGTTTGAATTTGGTCGCGGTTCAATGATTTTGGACAAACTTATCTTTCTTGAATGTTGGAAAAATTTTGAACTTTCAGTTTTAGCACTCATACTTTTTATGCCCCCGCCATGTAATGGCCGGGGCATATAGTGTTACCCTGTACTGTCCTTCCGTCATTCCGTCCTTCCGTCCTTCTGTCATTCCGTCATTCTGTCATTCCGTCATCATCAGTTTCCGTTCATTATCTTAGTAACGGTTGCACATATTCAACTCAAATTTGACATATGGATATGTCGTGAGAAAATACAGGTCAAGTTTGAATTTTGTCATGGTTCAATGATTTTTGGCAGAGTTATGCCCTTTTACTTTGAAACTAATATGAAATTTTCAGTTTCCGTTCATTATCTCCCCAACGGTACAACACATTCAACTCAAATTTGACATATGGATATGTCATGAGAAAATACAGGTCAAGTTTGAATTCGGTTATGGTTCGATGATTTTTGGCAGAGTTATGCCCCTTTTACTTTGAAAATAATATGAAAATTTCAGTTTCCGTTCATTATCTCCCCAACGGTACAACACATTCAACTCAAATTTGACATATGGATGTGTCATGAGAAAATACAGGTCAAGTTCGAATTTGGTCATGGTTCGATGATTTTTGGCAGAGTTATGCTCCTTTTACTTTGAAAATAATATGAAATTTTCAGTTTCTGTTTATTATCTCCCCAACAGTACAACACATTCAACTCAAATTTGACATATGGATATGTTTTTGGAATGCCCAGGCCAAGTTCGAATTTGGTCATGGTTCAATGATATTTGGCAGAGTAATACTTTCACTTTGAAAATAATATGAAATTTACAGTTTCTGTTCATTATCTACCCAACATTGTTACATATTCAACTTAAATTTGACATATGGGTATGTCAAAGGAATGGGCAGGTCAAGTTGGAATTTGGTCATGGTTCGATGATTTTTTGGCAGAGTTATGTCCCTTTCACTTTGAAAATAATATAGATACATCTTAGAAATAAGCAGTTTAAGTTTGAATTTGGTCGTGGTTCAATGATTTTGGACAAACTTATCTTTCTTGAATATTGGACAAATTTTGAACTTTCAGTTTCAGCACTCATACTTTTATGGAAATGTATGTAGCCATTATTTTGGCTACAAATATGAAATATGCTATTTTCAAAAGGTTAAGACTGAATAATTTCAGTGTCTTGAACATTGTATGAAAATGGTTTGTGTTAACATTGAAAAGTTTTAAGGGCTTTGAACTAAAAATGAAAACAATAATTTGTGCAAACAAATTTGGAACTAAATATTATAACGTCTGAAATTTTGGCTGCATGCGGGGGCATCCGTGGCATGATGACACATTTCTAGTTTGGAAATGTATGAAGCCATTATTTTGGGCTACAAATATGAAATATTCTATTTTTAAAAGGTTAAGACTGAATAATTTCAGTGCCTTGAACATTGTATGAAAATGGTTTGTGTTAACATTGAAAAGTTTTAAGGGCTTTGAACTTAAAATGAAAAAAATAATTTGTGCAAACAAATTTGGAACTAAATATTATAACATCTGAAATTTTGGCTGCATGCGGGGGCATCCGTGGCATGATGACACATTTCTAGTTACACTTTCCCCTTGGTGGCCTTTGTTGACAAGTTTGACTGTATATTAAAATCATACTTTTTTTGATCGAACACAAAAAGGCAGTAAAACTTGCTGGTTGACATGTTCATGAACCTCATATTGCTATCTGAATAAAACCTGTTGGACAAAAGTCAGATAGGTAGATCTATTGTTAAATAATTGTGTATGGAGACACGTCTGACATTGTATACAGTGTATATTTTACTTTCAATTTGGTCATGAGGAGAAAATGTATCATGCATTTTGGGCGACTCTATGGTCTAGTGGTTTAGGTTGTTAACTTTAAACCACTTGGCCCTGACTGATTTTGGTTCGAATCCCAGTAGGGACTTTGGATAATTTTGTGTGAGGAAGTTATCCAGCTACTTTTAGCAGAATGTCAGTGGTTCTACTAAGGTGCCTATTGGTGCAAGATATAATGCATAGAAGGGCACCTGATGTTTTCCTACACCACTGACCAGTAAAGCTGAAATGTCATCATATAACCTATACTGCATCAGTGTGACGTAAAAAAAGTATGTATCAGACTGTCAATCTAAAAGCTGGATGACTTACACCCTGAAAAGTACATAATCATGCAAAATATATGCCCAAAACAACAATTATTGGTACTAAGTAATCAGGGAAATGAATTTTCTTCTTGCTAATATACTACAAAAATAACATATAACCGCCTCCGTGGTCGAGGGGTTAGAGTCGATGACCTCTAATCCAGTTACCTCTCTGGCGTGGGTTCGATCCCCAGGAGATGCTTTGGTAGTTTAGCGCGGAGGAAGGTAGTCTAGTACTGGTGTAACTCTCCAGGAACAATGGTTAGGAAACTACCCGCCTATATGACTGAAATACTGTTGGGAAAAAGGCGTAAAATGAAACAAACAAACAAAACAAAAATTACATGAATTGATTAAAATTTCACACAGTGAAAAGAAATGCAATTAATGTTTAAGAATCATTATTTGAGCCGTGTCACGTCAAAACCAACATAGTGCGTTTGCGACCAGCATGGATCCACATCAGCCTGTGCATCCGCACAGTCTGATCAGGATCCATGCTGTTCGCTATCAGTTTCTCTACTTGTAACAGGGTTAGTAAGCGAACAGCATAGATCCTGATCAGAGTGCGCGGATGCACAGGCTGGTCTGGATCCATGCTGGTCGCAAACCCATTATGTTGGTTTTGTCGTGACGCGGCTCATTTATTGTTTAAATTAATATTTGAATAACTAAATATTCAGTTTAAAGCCTCCTAATGACAGTTGAGCAGTTAAGGTTGTCCAGACTTCAAACCACTTGACCTTTGATGATATGGTTTCAAATATTGTCAAATATTTTGTATTTCTATAGGCAAGGTATTTGTTCAGCTAATTAACAGAATGTCTGTGGTTTTACTCCACTTGTCAAGCAGTGGCCATATGACCATAAAAGTGTTCAAGTATGACTAAATCATGTTTGAGAGTCTGGATAATGAATGTTTAAATGTTTTTAAATCAAATTAAATATTTAAAAAATCATAAACTTTTGACAGTGTTTGAACATGGGTTAAGTCTTGTCATTTTATAGACATGAACAAAGTTTGCAAAATTTTCACCATGTACTTCAACAACTGTAGTGTACAGCTTCTTCATTTCACCACATAAACATTAAGATCAGGGAAAACTTGACAGATTTGCAACACCTTTTTCTTGTAGAGCAGCCTCCTGGTATCTCTTCCATATACATGTATAATATAATTTCTCTCCTAATGGAGTCTAACACAAAGACAAATTTTTTATCAAACAGTTACGTTACAATTTTATCTCCTATAAGTATGCAGTCCCTTTTTTTAACCTATATAGTATTCTTATGTTTTAACTTATTTTGTACAACAACAAGCACCTGATACATGTACTGACTTTTATTGATGTAATCTGAATAATTGTAACTGTTACAAATGCTTATAGTACAAAATATGAGTAGAAACAGGACAGATAACATAAAATAAAAAAAATGAAAAAAATAAATAAATAAAAAAACTCACCAGAAATCATATTGTTATATAAAATAGAAATATAGAAAATTATTAATCTTAGTTTATAATGATTTAAAGGCTATGAAAAATTCAACATCAACCTTAACTAGAAAGGAATATTTTTAGGAGTTATGACCCATTTTAACAGATATTGGTCATTAGCCTTATAACTGCATTATGTTCCTTTGTTATTCAGTGTATTCTCAGCATCACCATTGAAGTCTCCTAGTTTCTCACCAAACCATTTATAAGACTTATACAACAAATGGATAGATTAAATCATTCATCCATATAACATAAGATTTTACTAAACATTTAAAGATGAAAAAAAATTCCAGCATAAAAGTATCTTGCTAAGTTTTCATCATGCTTTCACATTTAGACCAGTTTTAGAAGAATGAATGATGAATTTAAGAACTACTGACATTGTTTAATTAACTTAGTCTCAAGTCTATGCCAGGTTATAGATGTGAAGGTAGTTGCCATATTTTTCACCCAAAGTATAACAGCTATAATACAGCTTCTTTGTTTCTCTACACAAACATACAGCCCATGGTCTTTTTAGATTCTGCAGCATCACCTTTCCTGTAGAACAATCTCCTGATATCTCTTCTATAACACCTCTCTCCCAGTCACACACAAAGACAGTACCATCATCTGACAGTGACATTCCTGTAGGGTAACTCATACCACTATAACTACCTATCACATCACCCTGCCAGTTTAATCTTGTTACTGTCTTCTTTTTACAGTCAGATACATAGATGGAACTTCTGTTACATATGATATACCATGGATCTTTGAATATATTTTTTCCATCAATTGTTGTTAGTATAGTGTCATTCATATCAAGGGTCTGAAGTTTTGTAGGGTTACAAAATGACACAACAAGATTACCTTGGTAACAGACTATACCACGACATTCTCCACCAACCTTTATAGTGTGCCTCTTTATGAGTTTGTTTGATGAGATTGATATAAATTGTATTGTTTGTTTGTTAGGAAGTGTGACAGCAAGTTCAGTACTGGTTACTCTTGTGATATCCCATGATCTGTCATCTAGTTGTAGTTGATCAGACACAGATTGACTGCTGGTATCCACCATCTTTACAGCATTGTTATTGCAGTCAGTGATGATAAGAAGATCAGGAGTCAGCAGAGTCATTCCTGTTATCCAGCATGTGTTTTTATCTTTTGATGTCTTCACACAGATTTTTCCCTCATATGAAGATTGTCTAGACTTTATTTGTACAGGTTGACATTCTTTATTTAAAGTTTTCTGTGTCAATGTACCCAGTGACTTCTCTGTTTTAATCAAATTTAATATTACATCATTTGATTGAAAGTTGTGCTCTTTGATATCAAATGATGACAGTTTTAGTAGTTTTTCATCCATATCCTTGATTGTCTCCTGTGAAAGTTTTAAATCAATGAAGAGTTTGTCAGCTTGTTTTGTTGTGTTGAGTTGTTTGATTTTGTCTGATGATATTTTAAGAGATTTGGTAACTTCCTCACATGTTGTTTCTGCTGCTTTCAGATGTTTGTTATTTTCTTGTTCTATGACTTTCGCTGCATCTTCAGCCTGTCTCTCAAGTTCATCTAGTCGTTGGTTGATTTCTTGCCGAAACATTTTAATGTCAACTAATGCATCTTTAAGAGAGCTGTTTGATTTGTGTGTCATGTCCTTGACATCTTTTAGTATCTGTTGAAATTTGTCAGAAGTGGTATTTAATGTATTCAAGATAACTTGATATTCTTTGCTGTCTATGATATCACCAGAAATGTCTGGTATATAGTTGACTTTGCAGGAAGTAGCTTGATGTTCAAGGGTAACACAAACACAACAGAGAAATTCTGTATGATCATTACAGTAAAACTTGATCATTTCTTTTGGATGTTTAGGACACGGCATAGTCAAATCATCAGACAGGCCTGTGTGAATGGATGTTGAGGGTTGCTGCAAAACTTTAGGCATACTTGTTGCATCAAGAAGTGTGTGCTTTTTGGTAAACTTGTTTATCTTATGTGCTTTAAAGCATGTCATGCAAAGGTGTTCCTTGCAGTCAGTACAGTAACCATGGGCAGGGAGTCTAGTTCCTTCCTCGTCACAAGGCTGGCAGTAAACTTGAAGATCTTCATCTGATGCCATGGATGTTGTTGATGACGAGAATTGTTTTGATGCTTTCTTTCCTGAGACCGCCATGTTTTACCTATAATGTAATATGATAGATTACTATGTATTGCATGTTTGTCAAATACATAAAACTTGAGATTCATATATGAATTGAAACAATGGCAAAGTCTTGCTAATTTCTTCTATGACCTTTTTATGCCCCAACAAAGTGGGGAGCATATAGCGTTGCACTTGTCAGTTCGTCCGTATGTCTGTCCGTCCCGAAATCTGGTGAACACAACCCCTCTTAAAATGGATGGCAGATTTTGCTTAAACTTCCAGGGATGATCAACCTTAATGTGTAGATGGTAGTAAAGGAAGGATTTTTTGATGCGACCAAATTTAACAGAATTATGGCCCTTTGTTGATTTTTTCACTATATACTATGTAGAAATTTTGTGAACGCAACTCCTTTTAAACTGGATGGCAGATTTTGCTTAAACTTCCAGGGATGAACAACCATAATGTGTAGATCAGGTAGTTAAGGATGGAATTATTGCTGCGACCAAATTTAATAGAATTATGGCCCTTTGTTGATTTTTTCACTATATACCATATAGAAATTTTGTGAATGCAACTCCTCTTAAACCGGATTGCAGATTTTGCTTAAACTTCCAGGGATGCACACCCTTAAAGGGACTCCACTGAGGTTTAAAAGCCTAAAAACATAACATTTGAATTTCTTACATCAATGAGTTTGGGCACTTTAAATAGAAATACATGCAAAGATAGTTAAATGTATACTTTGAAATAAACTGAAAATCGTATTATTATGCTTTTCTTAGCCCGATTTGAGTGAAAAGTGTTTAAACGCTTTTCATTTTGGGTCATTTTTTTTACAATTTGAATAATTATTCTGGAAAAACAAAGTGCGCAAATGATTTGAAATTTTGCACAAAGATTAGTGGTCTAAACCTACACCAAATGGTACATTTATCTGGAAAAAATATTTTCATTCCCATCATGTCAAAAAACCTCAGTGGAGTCCATTTAATGTGTAGATGGAAGTAAAGGAAGGATTTTTTGCTGCGACCAAATTTAACAGAATTATGGCCCTTTGTTGATTTTTTCACTATATTCCATATATATGTTGTCAGTGGGGACACAGTTCTTAGTAAGTGATAACATTGAGTGTGGGACAAAAGCCCCCCCCCCATTAAATTTACACATAGGACAAAAAGCCCCCCCCCCATTAAAAACAGGTTGGACAAAAGCCCCCCCCCTCCCAGTCCATCAAACAAAAGCCCCCCTAAGGTTTATTTAAACAAGTATGCGCCTTTCACTTTAATTTCCTTTGATAAGTGTTGATAAGCAATTCTCTGAAAATATTCATTTACATTTGTACTGCACAATATATAATAAAGTAAACATAAAAATATTCATATCATCGATGAAATATATATACAAATTTCACAATAAATCAAATTAGAACTTTTGTACCTTTAAATTTAAATCTTAATGTAAATTATCTTTTAAAACAGTTGCATTTATTTGTTAAATTAAACATACCGATTTTGACTTGTCTCAATACATCAAGTTTCTGGATTTAAACTACTGACAAGATTCTCAATAACAATTGTTTGATGGACTGGGAGGGGGGGGGGTGCTTTTGTCCTACCTGTATTTTTGATGGGGGTGCTTTTGTCTTACGTGTAAAGTTCATGGTGGGGGGGGGGCTTTTGTCCACCTTGTCACTTTGTCCGTATCCCGATAACATTGTGGCTCTCCCACAAGAAATATTTGTTACTGCTTTTTAATATTATATTTGTTAATGTCAGGATAACCTGTGCAAAATTCAATGTATTATTTGCAGTATTCCACTGAGAAAGAAACAATAAATGATAAAACGGTACATTGTGTTGTGATTCAAGCCAACAACAGTACAACTATTAATTTAGTGCATAATACAATGACTTTGTGTATCAAAATATATTATGTATTTTAACTTCTTTTTAAAAAAAAAAAAAAAAAGCATAATGAAATAATAATTCTCAGTCTTGTTTCCTTTATAAGAGAGTCATTTTTGTAGACATTAAGATATTTAATAAAAAATATTGTACCTTGAAATTGTAATCCTCAAATTGTCTCACAGGTAAAAATATTTTGCTGTTGATATTCACTGGATACGTGGAATTTGAAATTGATATTTACTTCCTTGTGTTACAACACAAAGTTACGAGTTTAAACTGAATAGATATCAATTGTTTATTTAGCTTATAATTAGTGCATAGTGTGCATGTTAGTGTTGTGTTTGTCAGTCAGTATTTTGACTGTTCAAAATTTAAATAAAGTCCCGATTTTTGAAATTTAAAGTTGTTCTCATCCCACAGTGCTTAAAATTTTAATTGTTATCTCCCCTAGTTTATCGGTGTGTAAATGTTTAAACTTTATGTTGACCTAGTTGGAGGATTATTAACTGTATTGAGAAAATGATATATAAGTGGTTTTAAATTATTCAGTTACTGCATTGAAAACAGAATGATTAAGACTTCCCTTCCCAACTTGTATTTTAAACATTGTTTTCAGCTTCACATTGTTATAATGGTTTTATGATGTTTTTTTGGTGGACTAATTGGAAGACTTAATAAGACTTACAATTTTAGGGTCACATAATTGTAGAGGGAGGAAATTGACTTATCAGTTATATACTCAGGTCAGTCTTTATAAAGTCATCACTGGAGCATGTAAAAACCTGAGAGATGATCTAGTAATAAAAACACATTTATGATCAAATAGTTCAGATATGGTGCATAATAGGTAGGGTGAGTTTGTGATCTCAAAAGTGATTGAGATTTATATAAAATACAGTACAACCTCTGCTAGCAACACGGTGACCTCTCAAAGACAAAGATCTAGGTTGTTGTTGAGAGGTGCTGCCCTAGAGAGATTACATTAAGTGTTCAGTCTTAGTTAAGAGAGTTTTAATACTGTAAAATGGTATTAGCTTGGAAGAGGAAAGCTTTGCACAGGTTACACTGTATAATTATAGAGATACATTCATACCTTTGAGCAAAGATCCTCCTAAAGAGAGACCAAACAAATGGCTTTAACAGACAAATGGCCTTCATTTCGAGGTTACTTTGTTCTGCTTAAACTATAAAAAGGTTCTCTAAAAGTGGTCTTCATTCAGAGGTGATCTTCTGTTTGACTGTATACTCTTAACTTGTACATTTCTCAAGAGATACCAGCCGAGTCTTTCAGAACTACAGTTAAACTTTTTTCACTCAAACTCTGATTGCTCGAACTTGGATTGCTTGAATTCCTCCTTTTGCTCGAACTCACTGACCATTACCATCAAAATTCCTATATAATTTATGTTGTGTTCTACCTTGGTATAACTCAAACTCTCGAACTAGATCTCTGGTCCCTTTGGCAGAAATAGTGATTTTTTGTCTTATATACTAATAACTGAAAAAATTGGTATCCATTATTTAAAAAAAAAAATCATTATTCATTATCTGCTGAACAGAGATCACTGTGAACAAAGACCATTTTTACACTTTCCCCTTGGTGGCCTTTGTTGACAAGTTTGACTGTATTGGCTGGTTGACATGTTCATGAACCACATATAATAAGTTATTGCTATCTGAATAAAACCTGTTGGACAAAAGTCAGATAGGTAGATCTATTGTTAAATAATTGTGTATTGAGACACATCTGATGTTGTATACAGTGTATATTTTACTTTCAATTTGGTCATGAGGAGAACATGTATCATGCATTTGGGACGACTCTATGGTCCAGTGGTTTAGGTTGTTAACTTTAAACCACTTGCCCCTGAAGGCTTTTGGTTCGAATCCCAGTTGGGACTTTGGATTATTTTGTGTGAGGAAGTTATCAAGCTGCTTTAACAGAATGTCAGTGGTTTTACTAAGGTGCCTATTAGTGCCAGATATAATGCATAGAAGGGTACCTGATGTTTTCCTACACCACTGACCAGAAAAGCTGAAATGTCACCATATAACCTATACTGTATTAGTGTGATGTAAAAAAAGTATGCATCAGACTGTCAATCCAAAAGCTGAATGAATTACACCCTGAAAAGTACATAATCATGCAAAATATATGCCCAAAACAACAATAATTTATTGGTACTAAGTAGTCAGAGAAATGACTTTTATTGATGCAATCTGAATAATTTTAAAATGTTACAAAATGCTTATAGTACAAAATATGAATAGAAACAGGACAGGTTACATAAAATATTAAGTGCATTTGATAATAACAAAAGAAAAAACAAGAACACCATATGTATCATATTATTATGTAAAATAAAAATATAGAAATTTTTAAATCTTAGTTTTAAATGTTATAATTGATGCAACCTATTACATATAAATGGACACAAAGTTGTCATTTTTAGTGTGTCTGATTTGAAAAAAAGAACTGTTTCATTTGATGCACAATGTTGTCAACTTGTTATGAAGATACAGTTAATAGACTAGTTATTATTAGAAATGCATTATACTCAAAGCTACATTTTGTAGTTATGCCCCTTTTTGTTAAACTTTTGTCAAAATTGCTTATTAAGTTAGTATGATTTTAAGGCTATAAAAAATTCAACATAAATCTTATCCAAAAAGAAATATTTTTAGGAGTTATGACCATTTTCAACATTAAATATCTATAAACATCGTCATTGATAGTAATTGCCCATATCAGACTTCGTTATTCAGTTTATTCTCAGCATCACCCTAGAAGTTTCCTAGTTTCTCATCAAACCATTTATAAAAATGCAATAGATTAAATCATTCATCTTGATAACATAAAATTTTACTAAACATTTAAAGATGAAAATATGTTCTGACATAAAAGAACCATTTATAAAAATGCAATAGATTAAATCATTCATCTTGATAACATAAAAGTTTACTAAACATTTAAAGATGAAAATATGTTCTGACATAAAAGAACCATTTATAAAAATGCAATAGATTAAATCATTCATCTTGATAACATAAAATTATACTAAACATTTAAAGATGAAAATATGTTCTGACATAAAAGTATCTTGCTAAGTTTTCAAAGATTTTACTAAACATTTAAGAATTAAAAAAAATATCTAGCATAAAAGTATCTTGCTAAGTTTTCATCATGCTTTCACTTTAAGACATGTTGATATGTCTTAATCAATTATTTACACATGCATCAACAAATATGTAAACCTTAAGGAAAAAATGATTAATTTATGTCAACAGATTCTACATCTTATCGCAATATCTAATCTGAATATTACAAATGATCATAATTAGCCCTAATTAATTCAGTTTGCTACAAAGAAATAGGCGATAAAGTCCGAGTAATCCAATAGCTTAGGACCTATCTATTTATAGGGAGTACTCAGGGGAGGTTATTCACTACTGTCCCTCATTAAAGAACTGTGATCAACTCTGTTTAAGTCTCTGTTCAGTTCTATGACAGGTTATAGATGTGAAGGTAGTTGCCATATTTTTCACCCCAAGCATAGCAGCTATAATACAGCTTCTTTGTTTTTCCACACCAACATACAGCCCATGGTCTTTTCAGATCCTGCAGCACCACCTTTCCTGTAGAACAGTTTCCTGATATCTCTTCTATAACACAGTTTCCATTATCACACACAAAGACAGTACCATCATCTGACAGTGACATTCCTGTAGGGTAACCCATACCACTATAACTACCAATCACTTCACCTTGCCAGTTTAATTTTGTTATTGTCTTCATGTCACAGTCAGATACATAGATAGAACTTCTGTTACATGTGATATACCATGGATCTTTGAAAATATTTTTTCCATCAATTGTTGTCAGTATAGTGCCATTCATATCAAGGATCTGAAGTTTTGCAGGAGATCGTAATGACACAACAAGTTTACCTTGGTAACAGCTTATACTACGACATTCTCCACCAACCTTTATAGTGTGCTTCTTTATGAGTTTGTTTGATGAGATTGATATAAATTGTATTGTTTGTATGTCTGGAAGTATGACAGCAAGTTCAGAACTGGTGAATCTAGTGATATCCTGTGGTCCAGCATCTAGTTGTAGTTGATCAGACACAGATTGACTGCTGGTGTCCACCATCTTTACAGCATTGTTAAAGTAGTCAGTGATGATAAGAAGATCAGGAGTCAGCAGAGTCATTCCTGTTATATAGCATGTTATTTTATCTTTTGATGCCATCACACAAATTTCTCCTTGACATGAAAAGTGTCTAGACTTTATTTGTACAGATTGACATTCTTTATTAAAAGCTTTCTGTGTCAATGCACCCAGTGACTTCTTTGTTTTAAGCAAATTTAATATTACATCATTTGATTGAAAGTTGTGCTCTTTGATATCAAATGATGACAGGTTTGTAGTTTTTCCTCCATATCTTTGATTGTTTTCTCTGCAAGTTTTAAATCAATGAAGAGTTTTTCAGCTTGTTTTGTTGTGTTAAGTTGTTTGATTTTGTCTGATGATTTCTTCAAAGATTTGGTTATATCTTCACATATTTCTTCTGCTGCTTTTAGATGTTTTTTGTTTTCTTGTTTTATGACTTTAGCTGCATCTTCAACCTGTCTCTCCAGTTCATCTAGTCTTTGGTTGATTTCTTGGCGGAACTTTTTAATGTCAATTAATGCATCTTTGAGAGAGCTGTTTGATTTGTGTGTCATGTCCTTAACATCTTTAAATATCTGTTGAAATTTGTCAGAAGTGGTATTTACTGCATTCAAGATAACTTGATATTCTTTGCTGTCTATTATATCACCAGAAATGTCTGGTATATAGTTGACTTTGCAGGATGTAACTTGATGCTCAAGGGTAACACAAACACTGCAGAGTAATTCTGTATGATCATTGCAGTAGAATTTGATCATTTCTTGTGGATGTTTATGGCATGGTGAGGTCAGGACATCAGACTGGCCTGTGTGGGTGGGTGTTGAGAGTTGCTGCAAAACTTTAGCCATACTTGTTGCATCCAGAAATGTATGCCTTTTGGTAAACTTGTTTATTTTATGGGCTTGAAAGCATGTCTCGCAAAGGTGCTCCTTGCAGTCAGTACAGTAACCATGGGTAGGATGTCTAGTTCCTTTCTTGTCACAAGGCTGGCAGTAAATTTGAAGATCTTCATCTGATGCCATGGATGTTGTAGATGATGAAAACTTTTTTGATGCTTTCTTTCCTGAGACTGTCTAGTTTTACCTAAAATGTATTATAATAGATTTATATGTATTACATGTTTGTCAAATGTCCTTTAGTGAATACATAAAACTCAAGATTCAAAGATGATTTGAAACAATGGCAAAGTGTAATTAATTTCTTATGTGACCTCTTTTGATTTTCTGGTTGCAGTGTCAAAGGTTAAGATCACATTGACTGCTGTCAAAACAGTTTTTGACTAATAACTCAACAATTAATGGGCCCTTGGTTTTTGACTACAGTAAACTTCACTTATAGCTGATATGGTTATAGTGAACTTACGGTAATAAGAAACAATTATTTTTGCCCAAATTTTGCCATTCTTTATTTGATATAAAAAAAAACAGTTGTATAGTAAACGCGCTTATAAGGAATTAGTGCTTATATGGAACTCAGTATTAAGTCCCTATAAAGTTAAAAGTACAGGAAATTACACTTTTATAAGAAACTCCAAAATACTGACTATCTGTAGATAGATATATTTAAAAAAATCCAAAAAACATTGCATTTTTTTCTTTTTTATTCTTTACTTAATCAATATAAGGGAGACAACAATGATGAGTCCAAATGAGTTTATTTTTCTTAACCAAATGCTCTTCAGAATGGAGGACAGTGATACACAATCAGTTTGTTATATGTAAATCTGTTTGCTATAAAAACTCCTGATATAAGGAACTAATTTGCTATATATGCATACAAGGAACTCCAGATATAAGGAACAGATTTTGAATGTCCCAATGAGTTTGTTATAAGCAGAGTTTACTGTACTAACATCACAACCCTTTGGCTCTTGGCCCTCAAATTCCACATGAATCTTAATGAATTTTGGGTGGAGCGGTCAAAGGTCAAGGTAACTGTGACCTTGTTTTTTTTAAAACATTGTCCATGTTGATAGTTTTGTTTATATTTCTTTGTTCAATTTATGCTTACTTAAACCACCACTGATAACTTTTAGGTGTTTCTTCACCATACCAATTTTACTTAATCAGTTTTTTTCTTTTTTACTTTCATATCAATAAAGAGGACAAAATTAAAAAGAAAACTAATTTTTTATCCTGAATCCTTGTAGACCTGTTGTCAAAATTGTTTCCAACCCAATGGACCCATGACTTTGTGTATCAAAATATATTTAACTTCCTTTTTTTAAAAAAAGCATAATAAAATAATAATGCTCACTAAGTTGTATTTGTTAGAGAGTAATTTTTGTAGACATTAAGATATTTAATAAAAATATTGTACCTTGAAATCTTAATCCTCAACTTGTCTCTTAATATTTTGCTATTGATATTGGATATGTGGACTTTGATATTGATATTTAATTCCTTGTTAACACTGATTACATTGTATGATTGTAAAGTAGCATGTTCAAACCGGAAAGATGTCAATTATTTATTTAGTTTATACAAGTGCCTTTTGTGGGAAAAACTATTGAATTTATATGTTGTGAGTAAGACTATCCAACTTGTATTAAAAACATTGTTTTTAGCTTCACATTGTTAAGGTTTTATTATGGTTTTTGGCGGAATAATAAGAAGACTTACTGAGACATTAGGAATTTGAAGCTTGATAAATATATTATTAATAAATTATCAACTACAATCACTTTTGGGATCAGAGGAAGCTGGCTCATTAGTAATAGACTGGTCAGTCTTTAAAGTCATCACTTATAGCATGTAAAAACCTAAGATATGATCTAGAGAATGATGAAAATGCATAAATGGCCAAATGGTTCAGATCAGGTGCGTTACTGGGTGGATGTGTGATCTCAAAAGTGATTGAGATTGATAAAATACAGTGCAACTTCTGCTGAGAAATACATTCTGTGGTCGAGTGGTAAAGGTCGTTGACTTCAAACAGCTTGCCCCTCACTTCTGTGGGTTCAAAGCCTGATAAGGACATTTGATTCTTTCATGTGAGGAAGCTATCCATCTAGCTTACTGAAAGTCTGGTTCTATTCAGGTGCTTGTTTGTGTCTGAAATAATGCAAGGTGGGGCATCTGAGGTCCACCAGTAAAGTAAACAGATGATTTAGGTTAGTTGTTGAAGTTATTTTACAGGTGTAAAGAAAAACTTTGCCATATAGCATCAATATTAGGAAGCTTTAAATCAGCTGTCATATAGTTGATAGAATTGAGAGATATTTTTTATCTAAAGTATATAATATTGTGGGAATGACACTCAAAATAGTAGCCAAGGCTGGTAATGCAGGTTACATAAACAGCATCTAATTTTTGTGCCCCCTATATCAAAGAAGTGGGGTTATATTGCTTTGCATCTGTCTGTCCATAGACCAAATGGTTTCCGATCAACAACTAATGAACGCTAAATAGGCCTAGGAACTTCAAACATGGTATGGGGATTGTTCATGACCAGAAAATGACCCCTATTGTTTTCAGGCTCCAGGTCAAAGGTCAAGGCCAAATTGACTTGAATGTCAAAATGGTTTCCAATTAATAACAACTCATGGGACTTTGACCTTCAAACTTCACAGTTGCATTGGTCTTGGCCTGTAGATGACCCCTATTAATTTTGGGGTCAAAGGCCAAGGTCATATTGACCTTGTAGGTAAAAACGGTTTCTGATCAATAACTTAACAACCCAGGGGCCCTTTTCCTGCAAACTGCATAGGTGCATTGGTCTTGGCTAGTAGATGACCCTTATTGATTTTGGGGTCAGGGGTCAATGATTAAGGAGTTCACATTGACATTGTATGTCAAAGCAGTTTCCTATCAATAACTTAACAACCTATGGACCCTTGACCATCAAACTTCACAAAGAATTGCTTATGGTCAGAAGATGACTTCAATGGATTTTTTGGGTCAAGGGGTCAGAGGTTCACTTTGACCTCATAGGTAAAAACAGTTTCTAATGAAAATCTCAACAGCTCATGGGCCCATTATCTTCAAACTTCACAGGTGCATAGGTCTTGGCAAGTATATAACCCTTATTGATTTAAGGGTCAAAGATCAAAGTCACATTAATCTTGTATGAAAAAACTGTTTCTGACCAATAACTCAACAACTCAAGTTGCCTTGGTTGATTTATTTTATATACACATTTTAAGGTTTAATGTAATAAAACAAATTGGCTGTCCATGATTTTTTAAATTTATGCATATATTATTTGGTAGGATTTATGAAAACTTTGTCATAAAATTGCTGCACAAAACCTTTACGTTCTCAATGACCTTCTGACTAGTCATGACCAGTAGCTAACCCCTGTTGATTTTTTGGTCACTAGGTCAAAACACACTCACAATAAACTGGCCACATGACTAATTGGCTGCTGATAGGGGGCATACATGTTTTACAAAGATATGTTGTTTTAACAGTAATTTTGCAGAAGAAAGATTTTATGTTTAACATTGTTTTTCATATTACAGTACTTTGTGACAATTTATTGGTCATAGATGGTGGCTCATACAGTTACAGTACAGATGGAGAAACTACACAAGTAACATATGAATGTGATGAAGGTTACAGTTTATCAGGTTCATCTAGTGCAACATGCTCTTCTTTAGGATCTTGGTCAAAGTCACAACCAAAATGTGGTATGTAAATATATACATGTTTATCTAAAATGATTACCCTTTAGAAGGATCTTGGTCAGCAACACAACCAGTTGCATACACAATGCAGGTTGCTTTGGCCAAGGTCAAGGTCACTAGAGATGACAAAATGTCTATATTTTGACAGGGGTATGTCATCTTAGTGCATAAAGCGATTTTATAATTACTTGATAAAAAGTGTTTACTATTATTAGGCATAAAATAAGTAAATAGGCCAACGGTCAAGGCCACACCTTATGGTTAGAGGAAAAAATTGTCAATAGCAAAATTCAGGACCCATGCAGTGTATATCATGAAGGGTGGTTTTTTTGAACACTGGAACTTTAGCTAAAGGAATATAAGTTTTCTAAATATGCTTTCAATTAGATCTATATCATTTTATAAATTGACATGTCAGAAACAACAATGAAATCTCTAAATATGCTAAATGTTTAAACACAGTGTCCTGTTCAATAAATATCATTATTATATAAATTTTCTAATGAAAAAACAGTCATTTTTTGACTGAAAAAAAAAAAATGCAAAAATCTTTGTATTCAATACTTTGTATTCATTAAATATTTAAGTATTATAGGTTCAATAAATATCATTCACAGTTCAATGTCCGCTAGTGGTTGATCCAGACAGTGGTTCTGTCAGTATCACAACAGATGGTGTTGTAAGTACAGCTGTTTTTACCTGTGCAACAGGCTATCATGTTGTCGGAGATGCCTTAAGTGCTTGCATGGATAATGGTTTATGGAACTCTACCACCCCAATATGCGGTATGTTTGCTTAAACATAATACCTTACTTATAGAGTTTATATACATGTGAATATGACAGCCGTGCATAAACATTTCCAAATATAGTAGAAATTTTTTGGGAACTTTTAGTTTTTTTCTTAAAGATTCTCAAAATGAAAATTTTTTGTAAATCATTAAAGTATATTTATTTTGTTTACTTAAAAAATCTTCAAAATTACCCGAATGTACAAAAATTCTTTGGTTAATTTTTTTTTCTGTTTGCACTCCCACGTAAAAGCTTTATTTTAAAGTTTCCCCACGGATTTTTTTTTTACAGTTTTCATAGACATGTCTTTGTTCAGTGAAAATTTGAAATTTGGCATTTTCAATAAAGTAGTTTAACATCAAATTAAAAATCAAGACAAAAATATTTCAGTTTATTTTTTCCTCTCAGTTTTATATACATGTAGCAGGATGATATTTCAACAATTCGGGGCGTCTTACAAAACACATTTTACTTAAACATAAAAATTGGGGACTCTTATTTTAACACTCACTTTCTGAGTGCCCCAAAAATTTTAAAACAATGATTTTCCACTTCAGTGTTATCTTCCTTATTCTTTTTACTTTAAAGTGTTTTTTCTGTTTTATTTTAAATTTTAAATGTTAATCTGTAAAAGAGAAATATTTGGGAAACATTTTGACACGGGAAATTTAAAAATACTTTGTGATTTTTTTGTTTCATTGTTTTAATTTAATTAATCCCCTAAAAAGTTTTTCCTTGTTTTTAAAGGGAAAATATATTTAGAATGGTCAAGCACATTTGAGAGGAAGTGCAGTGTACAAGAACAATAACTCCATCTTTAGTAATTACAGAGTTATTTCCTTTGTTGCTTTTCCATGTCCGGAGCATAACTTGAAAAGTATAGGTTGGAATTCAAAACAACTTCATAAAATGGTCAAGCACAATAAGAGGAAGTGCAGTGCACAAGAACCATAACTCTATCTAAAGTTACTCAAAAAATATTTGACCTAGAGTCATGAAACCTTACAGGAATGTTGATCAACATGTGTAGTTGTGCACCTGGGTATTTTCATTTGTATATTATTAGTAATTTTAGAGTTAATGCCCTTGAATTAGTAAAACTTTCCAATTTTCAACTTGTGTCGCACGTCACTAAAAAAGTATTTGACCTAGAGTCATGGAACCTTGCAAGAATGTTGATCAGCATGTGCAGTTGTGCACCTGGGTATTTTCAGGTGGATATACTTAGTATTTTTAGAGTTATTGCTCTTGACTTTGTAAAAATTTCCAATTTTCAACTTGTGTCGCATGTAACTCAAAAACTATTTGACCTAGAGTCATGAAACCTTACGAGAATGTTGATCAGCATGTGTAGTTGTGCACCTGGGTATTTTCGTGCGGATATTTTTAGTATTTTTAAAGTTATTGCCCTTGACTTAGAAAAATTTACAATATTCAACATGTGTTGCACGTAACTCAAAAAGTATTTGACCAGTGTAGGCCTGAAAGTTTACAAGAATGTTGGTCAGCATGTGTACTTATGCACCTTGGGGTTTTTTTGTGGATCTATTCAGTATTTGTAGTATTTGCCCTTTACTTAATGAAAGATTTTTAGTTTTTCAACTTGGGCATAAAAAAAAATTTGACCTTGAGACACAAGATTGACAAATCGGTTGAGTCTGAGCCAGGGGTCACCTGTGTCCTATTGGACACATTTCTAGTTAAAACATAAATTTTATTATCATCAGTGTGTGACACACCATCATCAATTTCCCATGGTTCATTTACCATATCAACTGACCAGTCCATAGCAACATACAGCTGTGAAGTCGGGTATACACTTAATGGTAATATTCAACGATATTGTGCGGCTGATGCATCTGGTTGGAATGGAACAACTCCACAATGTGGTAACATTTTACGATATTTACAATTTTAAGTAAAATCATGCTAATCTTTTCATTGTCAAAGTGAGCTGAATTGACAATAAATTTCTGCAGATTGACTGTTTTGATGGTAATTGACTAACAATTTAAATTGGAAAATGTTTGGGATAAAATATAAATCAGTCTAAAATATAAAAAGATTGCCCCACTATTTTTATTAATTTCACTTACAGGGAAATGCAGATGGATATTTGTAGACATTTCCTTTGGCAATGTGAATTATCTATTGTTCATGAGAAGTAAATTATAAAATTGAAAGGAATTAAAGCAAAATGTAAACTTTTTTTGATTTTTACCTGTACACTCACAATATCCCCTTGGATTGGCATAATGTCACTTTAGTTCAAACAACCAGTATTCTTTAACCTTAAGTTAAGTTGTTTGACAGACAAAAGAAATTGCAGACCTACCTTACCAAACATAAGTGTATGAATTGAAAGTGGCAATTATTTTTCTCTAAGGTTGGCTTTAGTTTGAAAGCACAACTGCTCTGTAAAAAAGCCAATACAAATGATTTGTTCATCATCTCTCTGACTTATGATACAAGAAGTAAAACACACATTAAAAAGATTTTGTTAAGTGCTCCAGGGACAGTGTAATTAAGGACAGTGTGTTTGAACTTTTGACCTTGACTGTCATGATTTCCCATCCTGCCGACAAGATCCCGACAGGGACTTTGAATTCTTTAATGTGAGGAAGCTATACAGCTTTAGCTTCTGGACATTGGTGGTTCTACTCAGGTGCCCATTCCTGCCTGAAATAATGAAGAGCGCCTGAGGTCTTTCTCCACCAATAAAGCTGAAAAGTTGCAATATGATCTAGACTGTGTTGATGTGATGTAAAAGCCAACCTTAAAAAAAGTCAACACAAGATGATGGTACTTTATTGAGTACTGGCCCGGTGTTCACAAAGATTTAAGGATCAGGATCAAGATCAGGATCAAATATAAAAACCCTGATATTCTTCATTGTTTATCCTCATAGATAAATATCTGATTATAAATATGATAAAACTGGACTTGAAATAGCAAGTATATGAAATTTTAGAATAAATTAATTGTTAATTTTGTAAGATATGGGCATTTTACAGTTGATCCAAATATTGATCCTGATCCTAAAATTGATCCTTATTTTGATCCAAATATTTTTGTATTTGTTTTGTTATTTGTTGATTTTATCCCAAAATAGTTTTTTTTCGTTGCAAATCAGCATACTTTTACATTTTGAATATTTACAATTTAATTCAACAAAACACAAATACTTTTAGTAACATTAAACAATGAAAATAAAATCAGGATCACTTGATCCTGATCCTGATCTTTTCTTAGTGAACACGGGGCCTGGAGATTATCCTGGCATCATTTAACATTAAATGCAGTTCTATTTTGGTTTTGAAAGGGATCATTTCATTGACATAAAATCCTACAAAATTAATTAATAAAATAAAAACAACAATAATGAGACAAATGTGTCAATACTGTATTATTTTAGACTGCATTTTATTTATCTTCCAGGCTTTCATTTACTTAATGACCTTTGCAAAATGAAGTTATATAAATGAAGGTATATAAATATTGTTATTTGAAATAAAAGAATAGAAATATGTATATTATTGTTCTGTAATTTCAGTAACCTGTGACACTTTGACAACACCAGCTAATGGTTCCCTAGATATCACAACAGATGGTGTTGTAACATATGTTTCAGTATCTTGTGATGTAGGTTTTACTTCGGCAGGAGCAACATCACTTTCTTGTCAGTCCGATGGGACATATGACTATACAGTGCCTTCCTGTGGTAAAAAATTTAGTCCCAGTCTTAAGGGATATATTTCACTTAATATACTAAGTATTCCATAGTCAGGATTTGGATTTCTAAAATTCCTTCCAAACAAATTGAAGAGAAGTATATCAAAATTACAGTCTCATTTTGACATGTTCATGAGAAATATCAGTAATGAAAGATTTTAGTGCTAACAAGCATTTTAAGACAAGGATAACATATTTTCAAAAATTGCACAAGTATCTAGATACATATGTTTTGATTCATTAAGAAATGTACAACTTTTCTACCTACTAAATAATTCTGGAGAAATATATTTTTTCAAGTTGAGTGTCAGCCTTTACAAGATCCAAGCAACGGAAGTATTTCGTTATCATCAAATGCAGCACAAACATTTGCAACATTTACATGTGATGTTGGCTTTTCCATGAAGGGAGCAGAACTGTCTTATTGCCTCTCTGATGGCTCATGGTCGTCTGATGTACCAACATGCCGTAAGTTTCATGTTCAGTTTAAGTTTTCACATTTATTCTTCTTGTTAAGTTTACTTACCTTATACATCAACTCTGTTTGAAAATGAAAATGCAAGACTGTATATACCGTAAAATTCCTATTAAACGGGGGCTAAACATTTTCCAAAAGGGGGGCTAATATTACAACACAGTTTTTCCTAAATCCAAAAACCATTGTAAATACATTTAGTGTTAGCAAGTGTTGGTAATAACATTAAAAAGTATTAAGATTTTAAAGTTCATACTATAAAATAAAATGGATTCTGAATGATTTGAATGAAATTATGGATTTACTCATGAGTTCAGCACTGATGAGTAGATTGTTTTTCTTATCAAAAGGCCTGGGGGCCTTTTTTAGGGGAGGGGCGTTTATGAGGAATTTTACGGTAATTATAATTAAAGATTCTCACACCCTTCACATTATTCTCCTATTAAACAGACAAGGTAGTCAGGCACAAGAAGCACATAATTATGCAATTATTATTACATATGCACAGCAAAATTTAATGATGTCAGGAATATTATTGCTAGGTCAATGCAGAGATTTTGTTTTGGTACCAGTATGGCCAGTGATAATCCAAATGGCAGTGCAAAGATTTTACTATCTGACTGTCACTGCAGGGCAGGATCTTTGCAAAGTCTCAATTTTCATTACAGAATTCTGTATAAAAATATATCAAAATATACCTCCCGATTTGTGCGTTCTTGATTTTAACATTCAATGCAGGATTATGAATTATTATTCTAGAATTATGTGAGCAGTTTCCGACGATTTCAAGTAGTTCATATACCATGACTTCTAATGGATCTACTTCATACGTTACTGTACAGTGTGCTGATTATTATCACATGATTGGAGAAGCTGAAGTGACATGTTTACAGAGTGGAGCCTGGTCAGATTCACCTTCTTGCCGTATGTTTTTAAAACAAAATTTATATTTTAAAGATATTGATATAATATTATGCAACATACAATATAATTATTATGTTGGTCAGAATAGTTTCTCTTCCTTAGCTCAATGAAGTACACTGGCCAAGTATTATGTTAAGACTATATAAAGCCTATTGGCTTATTATACCCCGAAACAAGTTTAGGGGGAGTATATAAGAGTCACTCGGTGGTTGGTCAGTCTAGCGGT